TGTAGGCTTGCAAGATTATTAAAATTTAACAAAAATTATTGATTTGCTTTTTATTAACACTGGGTTGTTTTCTATGGAAGTTCAAATTGCATGAAAGTCTTTTTTTTCTGTTTAATTTTTTTTTACAGTGAAACTCTATATTAAATCTACCTGATTTTTAAAATGTCTTTTATTTAAAATGTGATATATAGTCTGCAGCAGTAGAATAACCTCTGCGAATTGTGTTTTTGAATCACTTTCCATTTTCTTTGTTTACAGCAAGCAGAAAACACCTTAAAAAATTCACCTTTAGCCCGCTTTTAACTTAACATAAAAGATACCTGTCAGAAAAGCATGAAATGCTACATCAAGTGCCTAATATTGGAGTTTTCATTTTATTTATGGGTTTTGAAGCCTAGCACGAATGCTTCAGTGAGCTGTGCTGTGAAAGTATTTATTTTTGTATACTTATGTGAGAGAAATTATTTAGTTTCCACTTATGAATAAGACAGGCAAACCTTATTTACAGTAACTTTATCTAATGGTCCGTGGTTGAGTGCTTTTATGCAAAATAGTCCAGAGGCTAGAATTAACTTTTCACATTGGATGCACATTTGATGTCCAGACTTGAACAACATGTGGCATCTTATTATAAAGACTAACATTCAGGATTCAATTTGTATTTAACGCAGTTACTTCAGAATGCACATATCATGCCTTGGCTACATTTAGTGTTAACTTTGTAATGATTTCTCTTTCTCGCTTGTATTAGATATATAAGTAGAAGTGTTTATTTGTTGCTTTTTGTAATTTTTCTATTTCTAGATTTTTTAAAGAGTGGATTGATTAGCTATTTGATATTTTAACAACAGATCCTTTTTGGACATGTGACAACTCATTGGGTTGAGGCGATTATTGTTAGCACATTTTTAAAGAAGGGTAGGGCTTATTTTAAGGACCTGTGCACATGTTACTTCCTTCTGTGGCTATTAGTTCTTGGAGTTATTCTTAAAAAGTTAGTAGGTAGTCCATCTCTGGTTTTACCACCCTTTTACTAAATCAACAACTAATAGCTTGTGTATACTTGGAGAAGAAAATTTAAGACAGTTCATCAGTAGACATGGAATATTGATTTTTTTATTAAACTAGGTTTATTGCTCTTAAAATTTTATTACTCCTCTTGTAGCTAGTCTGCATGATGCCCCCCGGTGATTCTCACCTCTTATTATTCCTGCCTTTATTTCCTCCCCTCCCATTGAATCATGGCCGGTCTGCATGATCAACATCCAGGAGTACTGTAGAAGCGATGGCATGTGACCACTGAAGCTCGGTCGTATATAACATTAGGGTTTCCACTGTGTGTTCTCTTTTACCACTCACTCTGGGGGAAGTCTCCTTTGCCATATCCCAAGGACATTGATGCAGTCCTTTGGAGAAGTCCAGGAGACCAGCGACTGAAGCCTCCTGTAAACACCCAGCGCCAACTTGCTACCCATTTGAGTGAGCCACCTGAGAAATCATTATTCTAACCCCAGTCAAGTCTTCAGATGCCCAACTCACACCTTGCCTGCATCCCCAGAAGAGATCTTGAATCTCAGGCACCCAATGAAGCCACTTTTGTATTGTTTACCCACCGGAACTCCATTAAATAGCACATATTTATTGTTGTTTTAGGGCTTCCCAAGTGGCTCAGTGGTATAGAATCCACCTGCCAGTGCAGGAGACAGAGGTTTGATCCCTGGGTCAGGAAGATCCCCTGGAGAAGGAAACGGTAACCCACTCTAGTATTCTTGCCTAGGAAAGCCCACGGACAGAGGAGCGTGGCAGACCTAAGTCTGTGGGGTCACAAAAGAGTCAGACCATGACCTAGTGACTAAACAGCAGCAGTATTGTATTAAGTCAGTAAATGCTGGAATAATATCCATCTATCTATAACCAATGTACCTGCTAAATAAATACATTTTACACATTTCCTGTTGATCACAGTTTGTAGTTTTTTGTAGGCATAAAAATCTTGGAGGTGTCTATTGTGATTTGTAGTGTAATTTTCATAGGCATTTGGGGTAGTATATTAAATGAGGCATTGATGTTAGAGCATTCATAACTGAATTTGAATTTTAGCTTTGCTTTCTATCCACTATGTATCTTAATGAAATTACCTAAAATTTCTGATTATCAGTTTTTACTGAAAAATCTGTAAAATGGGATAATGATATTTAACTCACCATAATCTTTTTTTTTTTTAAGTCAGGATGAAATGAGATATCTAGTGTTAAGTCTATAGCATAATGGTTGATATATCTCATCCTTCCAGTTTATCCACAAATGAGCTCCTTTCCATGTGAAGTAGGTCTTTGCCCCAGGGATGAAGATTTCTGTAGCCATCTAAGTTCATGGTCTCAGTGTGATTGTTGATCAGTATTACAATCTTTAGGAAGTCCAGTACTTAACAGTCTACAAGTCATTTTTCTTTTATGTAATTTTCTTTTTACTGTGATGTGCCTAGGTGTGATTTTCTTCATACTTATGTTGCTTCAGTTTGCAAAGCTTCTTGATCTTGTGGGTTGATGTCTTATGAGTTTTGGAAAACTCTCAGTTGCTTCCTCTGTAAGTATTCTTCCTGTCCCTCCTCCCTCCCATTTTTCTATTTTCCTTCCTCGTGGGACTATTTTGAAAAATGTTAGACCCTTTTCACTGTGTCCCACATATTGCACATAATTTTTTATGTTTTCCATCCATTTTCCTTCCCTGAGCTTCTCTTTGGATATCTTTTGACCTGTTTTCCATTACTAATCCTGTCCTCTGCTTTGCTAATCTTCTGTTGAACTATAATATTGAGTTCTTAATTTCAGGTATATTTTTCAGTTCTAAAATTATTTGATTTTTTTTTTTTTTACAGATTGCAGTTTTGTGTTGAAATCTTTTTATCTATTTCATTCATCTTTTTAAAAAAACATACTTTATAATAATTAAAATAATTATATTAAGGTCCTTTTCTGCTAACTCCAGTATCTAGGTCATCCATGGGTCTGTGTTTTCGTTTTGTTTAACACACTTTTTTTCTCCTTGATGTTTAGTTATTTGGTCCTGTCTTGTGGCACACCTGGTAGTTTTTGTTAATTGAATTCTTAGTACTGTAAGTGAAGAATTGTTGGAGCCCAACAGTATTCTTTCTCTAAGGAGCCACCCTTTCCCTTACTGGACAGATAGGCTGGGGGTTGTGTACCTTACTCCAGTCAGGGAATGAATTGAGGCAAAGCTCGACAGAAGTTTTGGGCAGCTATCTGTGTTTGTGTCCTGGAGACCAGGAGTCCCAAATGAGAGGTTTTGGTATTCACCAGGACCTCATCTAATTTTCTTCCTAACATGTCAAGGCAGCGCGTTTGCATTTTTGAGGCTTTCTGTTTAGCCTTTTTTATCTCCTGCCTTGTGTGGTTTTGGAAATTAGCAGTTGTGTTTTGGGGAAAAGTGGCTGTGTAACAAACTCCCTTCTTTGCCTCTCTCTTCTACCGGGTATTACCCCATCAGGCCTCCAGCCCCCACAAGTACCAGAAAGTGAAAGTGTTAGTCACTCAGTCCTACTGGATTCTTTACAATCCCATGGACTCTTTTCAACCCCATGGACTGCAGCCTGCCAGGCTCCTCTATCCATGGAATTCTGAAGGCAAGAATACTGGAGTGAGATCTTCCTGACCCAGGGCTTGAACCTAGGTCTCCTGCCTTGCAGGCAGATGCTTTACTCTCTGAGCCATCAAGAAAGCCCAGAAGGTTGCTGTTTTCCACACTCTCAAGCGTGGCCATCTTTCTAGGCAGAGAATCTCAGCCTCCTGTTGATAAGCGCCTCCAGGAAGAAAATGACTGTAGAATGCCAGCTGGCCTCTCCATGGTTTCTCTACCACCTTGGAATCATACTTCTAGTTCAGACTGCCTCAGCAGCCCTTTAATTGATGCTTTAGACTGATATTGCTCTATATTTCATTAAACATTCCTAGGTATTCTGGTTGGGACCATCAGTGTATCAACTACCCAAATGTTAGCTGGATGGTGAGGACCACACAGTTATCTCTGAAGGAAGTGATGAGTAGACTGTTTTTGTGGACTGCTCTTCTGGCCGGTTTTATTCTACCACAGTTGTCACTGTATGCATATTTCCTTCTCATTGTATATCTATGCAGTAAAATTAATATTTTTCTGAATCATTGTCTTAATTTTTATAACTAATCTTGATTTATTAATTCCTGGCCTTTATAGACAGTCTAGATTCCAAACTTTGTAACTCTGAAGATTAAGGATGTCTTATGAGGCTATATCAACAGTGAAATTGAACATCTAAAGTTAGTAATAACATATATAAAAGATTAAGAACACTTTAATGCATAAGTAGGTTTATTCAGATGAGAGTCAGCAGTGTATATTCTATGATAAAGTAAGTAATGATATCCATTCATGATTTCTGTTATTTAAAATTAATATTAAAATATTTTTATCTGAAGAGTAAGTATGTACTTTGCTTTATATAAAATTTCTGATTTTCTTTCATTTTAATTTTTATAATTTTTCCAAATAAAATCAGATATTCTCAAATCTGACAAAAATGCTTGCAATCTTGAAATACAGAATTTGTGTCTTTTGGAAGTTTTATGTATTCCTGTCTCATTGCTGTGTTTTATGTCCACGAGGGCACATTGACAAGTATTTTGCCTATGCACCTTTTATTGGCTTTTGTCTGAATAGTGGGACAGACGGTTTTGTATTTTCTCAATATGCTAAAGTTGATTACTGTCAACAGAAGGTATATGTAGTCCTCTTTCCAGCTTCCAGATTTATTCTGCCTTTGAAGTTGTATCAGTTGATAGGCCAGTTTGAAAAAGGAAGCATGAGAATCTTAACCCTTAGCTGTAGCTGTGGTTGTTGACAGTCATTGAGGGAACCGCCTGTGGTTCCACCTTACAACATGTGTTTTGAGTCTTTGACTCTTTCAGATATGTCCTTGAGGGCTGTCCTCTCTGTTTTCCGTGCAGGAAGAAGAGAGTGAAGAGGAACCCAAACTGAAGTATGAAAGGCTCTCCAATGGGGTAACTGAAATCCTCCAGAAGGATGCTGCTAGCTGTATGACGGTCCATGACAAAGTAAGGTGGCCTGTGGAGGATGCTTCTGTAACTCGCTTCTGTTATGTGTTTGCTGATGCTTTGAGGTCTGATGCTTCGGGTGGTGGTTTTTTACAGTAATTGTGTCTCCCTGCCACTCTTCCTCTCTTCTTTCTCACCAGTGAAAAACTCAAACAACAACCAGAGGTATTATATCAATGTACTTGTACACACACACACACCACCCATGGCCATAGTGTATCAAATAGAAGAGGATGATGGTTGTGAAAGATCTGGAGCAAGTGATTCTCAGTAACTCTGGCACTTAATTCCTCAGATCTTACGTAGTAGAGTAGGAAATTGTTAAGATGAGAAATATTCTGGAGCTCATTGCTTTTGTAAGAGTAGATTGGAGGCCTTAGGAATCAATAGAAAGGCCCCAAATTATTTTTTATGTATTATATGAATGAATAAATATATTCCACATCTCAGTCTTCATTATAGAAAAGCCCCCCACCAACTTTTTGAGTCCAGACTAAGTACTATACAGGATCCTTTTCCCATTATAGACCAAAACAATCCAGGACATAATTAGAATATTAGAAGCAAGGCATTCTGATCATTGCTCCCTTTTCCCCATGAGCCCTATGAGTGAGCCTTGGTACCTCCACTGCAGGCAGGCACCTGGCTCTGATCCATCTCTTGGCTTTATCCCCTTGTTACTAGCAGTATTGCCTTGTCTATCTCCTTGCCTCTACCCAGTTCCCCTTTATTACAGATTTCATTCTGTTATAAATAGATCCTGCTTTCAGCATGCCAGCAGGACCTGTGTTTTCTCTATTGTTTTTCCAGAACACTTTCCTTCAGCCCTGTTTCATCTCTCTACCCTTAAGGCCACATTCTGGAGGCTTTATGTCCATCCCTGGAACTTGAAGATATTTTGGGCCAGCACTCTTAATCTTTTTATCCTTCAGGCTTTTGTGTTTGTCTTCCCACTAACCCTGTTTTGTGACTTGATGGATCCCTGATCTCTAATCCATTCGTTTTCTTTTCTGTCTCTGTCAAGTGGTCAGCCATTCTAACTTAAGTTTACCAGCAGATTCAATTCTCTAATGGCCCTGCTCTCAAGGATGCCCCACACCACCCGCTTCAACCCCACCGCCCCAGCTAAACTCAGCTTAGTCAGTGCTTTAACAACAAGGTCACCCGCCATGTGCTGGTACACCTTGTGTGCGAGGTGTACATGTCACCTAAAGGGCTAATATTTATTTGTCCTTCATTAGCTCTTTCATCCCCAATCCGCCTTTTCAGCCACCATCCCTATACTCTCAGATGATGATGTCATTTCTATTTCATTAAGAAAATGGAAACTATCAAGCATGATCAGCCTCAATTTCTGACTGTTTGCCCAGCTCATCCTTCCCCTCCGGCTTATGGTCCTTTTTGGCCACATCTGTCATTCACTTCATTTCATCCCTTCTCTCCTAGCAATCCATGCTGTATCATGGAACAGACATAACTCTAGCCTCACGTAATCACTTATCTACTTTCTGATTCTGTAAATGAGCCCATTTTTGATATTTCATGGTTTTGTTGTTGTATAGTCACTGAGTCATGTATGACTTTTTGCAACCCTATGGACTGTAGCACGCCAGACTCCTCTGTCCTTCACTGTCTCCCAGAGTTTGCTCAAATTCATGTCCACTGAGTCAGTGATGCTCTCTAACCATCTCATCCTCTGCCATCCCCTTCTCCTTTTGTCTTCAGTCTTTCCCAGCATCAGGATCTTTTTCCAATGAGTCTGCTCTTCACCTCAGATGGCCAAAGTATCGGAGCTTCAGGTTCAGCATCCCAGTCCTTCCAGTGAAGGACTTTCAGTGAAGAGTATTCACTATACAGTGAAGAATATTCAGGGTTGATTTCCTTTAGTATTGACTGGTTTGATCTCCTTGTTGTCTAAAGGACTCTGAAGAGTCTACTTCAGCACCACAGTTCAAAAGCATCAATTCTTGGGAGCTGGTAGCTCAGTCAATAAAGAATCCACCTGCACTGCAGGAGATCTGAGTTTGATCCCTGCTTGAGAAGATCCTGTGGGGAAGGAAATGGCAACCAACTCCAGTATTCTTGCCTGGAAAATTCCATGGACGGAGGAGCCTGGTGGGCTACAGTCCATGGATTTGCAAGAGTTGGACACGAATTAGTGATTAAGCCACGTCCTTCTTTATGGTCCAACTCTCACATCCATACATGACTACTGGCAAAACCATAACTTTGATTATACAGACCTTTTTCATCAAAGTGATGTCTTTGCTTTTTAATATGCTATCTAGGTTTGTCATAACTTTTCTTCAAAAGAGCAAGTGTCTTTTAATTTCATGGCTGCAGTCACTGTCTGCAGTTATTTTGGAGCCTAGGAAAGAAAAGATGTCACCACTTCCACTTTTCCCCTTCTGTTTGCCATGAAGTGATGGGACTGGATGCTGTGATCTTAGATTTTTGAATGTTGAGTTTTAAGCCTGCTTTTCAATCTGCTGTTTCACCCTCATCAAGAGGCTCCCTAGTTCCTCTTCATTTTTCTGCCATTAGAGTGGTATCATATGCATATCTGAGGTTACTGATATTTCTCCCAGCAATCTTGATTGCAGCTTGTGATTCATCCAGCCTGGCATTTCGCATGGTGTACCCTGCATATGAGTTAAATAAGCAGGGTGACAATATAGAACCTTGATGTACTCCTTTCCGAGTTTTGAACCAGTCCATTGTTCCATGTCCGATTCTAACTGTTGCTTCTTGACCCACATAGAGGTTTCTCAGGCAGGTATGATGGTCTGGTATTCCCATCTCTTGAAGAATTTTCCAAAATTTGTTGTAATACACACAAGGGCTGGGGGGCTCATCTTTCATTGTCATATCTTTTTGCTTTTTCATGCTGTTCATGGGGTTCTTGCAGCAAGAATACTGGGGTGGGTTGCGATTTCCTCCTCCAGTGGACCATGCTTTGTCAGAACTCTTCCCTATGACCCATCCATCTTCTGTGGCCCTGCCCATTGTGGCTCATAGCTTCATTAAGTTACACAAGTCCCTTCACCATGATAAGGCTGTGATCCATGAAGTGGGGATCAGTTCAGGTGAGTTCAGTCACTCTGTCGTGTCTAATTCTTTGCGACCTCATGGACTGCAGCATGCCAGGCTTCCCTGTCCATCACCAACTCCTGGAGCTTGCTCAGACTCAACCTTCATCGAGTCAGTGATGCCATCCAACCATCTCATCCTCAGTCATCCCCTTCTCCTTCTCCCTCAATCTTGCCCAGCATCAGGGTCTTTTCCAATGAGTCAGCTCTTCACATCAGGTGGCCAAAGTATTGGAGTCTCAACTTCAACATCAGTCCTTCCAGTGAATATTCAGGACTGATTTCCTTTAGGATTGACTGGTTGGATCTCCTTTCAGTCCAAGGGACCCACAAGATTCTCCCAACACCACAATTCAAAAGCATCAATTCTTTGGTGCTGAGCTTTCTTCATGGTCCAACTCTCACATCCATACATGACTACTGGAAAAGCCATAGCTTTGACTAGATGGACCTTTATCAGCAAAGTAATGTCTCTGCTTTTTAATACAGTGTTAAGGTTTGTCATAGCTTTTTTCCCAAGAAGCCAGTGCCTTTTAATTTAATGGCTATAGTCACCATCTGCAGTGATTTTGGAGCCTAAGAAAATAAAGTCTGTCACTGTTTCTATTGTTTACCCATCTATTTCCCATGGATTGATGAGACAATATGCCATGGTCTTTGTATTTTGAATGCTGAGTTTCAAGCCAGCTTTTTCACTCTCCTCTTTCACTTTCACTTTCATCAAGGCTCTTTAGTTCCTCTTCACTTTCTGCCATTAGGGTGGTATCATCTGCATATCTTAGGTTATTGATATCTCTCCCTGCAGTCTTGAATTCATCTTGTGCTTCATCTAACCCAGCATTTTGCATGATGTATTCTGCATATAAGTTAAATAAACAGGGTGACAGTATATAGCCTTGACTCCTTTCCCAGTTTGGAGCCAGTCCCTCATTCCAAGTCTGTATTCTGACTGTTGTTTCTTAGTTCAGTTCAGTCGCTCAGTCGTGTCCGACTCTTTGCAATCCCATGGACTGCAGCATGCCAGGCCTCCCTGTCCATCACCAACTCCCAGAGTTTACTCAAACTCATGTCCATTGAGTCGGTGATGCCATCCAAACGTCTCATCCTCTGTCGTCCCCTCCTCCTGCCTTAAATCTTTCCCAGCATCAGGGTCTTTTCAGATGAGTCAGCTCTTCGCATCAGGTGACCAAAGTATTGGAGTTTCAGCTTCAACGTCAGTCCTTCCAATGAACACTCAGGACTGATCTCCTTTAGGATGGACTGGTTGGATCTCCTTGCAGTCCAAGGGACTCTCAAGAGTCTTCTTCAACACCACAGTTCAAAAGCATCAATTCTTCGATGCTCAGCTTTCTTTATAGTCCAGCTCTCCCATGGCTAGACTGGAAAAACCATAGCTTTGACTAGATGGACCTTTGTTGGCAAATAACGCCTCTGCTTTTTAATATGCTGTCTAGGTTGGTCGTAACTTTCCTTCCAAGGAGTAAGCGTCTTTTAATTTCATGGCTGCAGTCACCATCTACAGTGATTTTGGAGCCCCCCAAATTAAAGTCTGTCACTGTTTCCACTCCCAAGATTTGGTCCATTGGTCACTTGTTTTCTAAATACTTACTTTTCTTGATTTAGTTTCATGATTTCTGTGGCCACTTCCACCCTGACACCCTCCCTTGATTAGTGTGTTTATTTACACGCCTCTTACGCACCTGTACCTTCGGTTCTAATTTTACGTGTCACTCACCATATCCATAGTGAACTCATTTTTTTTTTGCTCTTCCTTCCCTTGCATTTGTTCTTTTGTTTTCTTTCTCTGCCCCATTTGGTGGCAGCACCTAAGGCAAAACTGACTCTCCCTTTCCACTCAGTCATTCCCTAAGTCCTGGTGGTTTTCTCACCACCCCTGCCCTAGCTGAGGTCTTCATCTTCTCCTCCCTGCACTCGTGTACCTCCTATTTATTATTATTTTTTAATTTGCTTTTAGCTCTTTTTCTACCTAGTTGCCAGAATGCTCTGTGGAAAATATCGATTTTGCAACTCAGGTCTGATTTTCCTCTTCTGCTAAAGTCTGAGCTCCTTCTTCATGTGTTTAGGGCCCTCTGAGATCTTGCCTCCTTGTGTAATTGGCCCAGTGTCTGAACTTTTCTGCCACAAGTGTAGTGCTCTGGCAGCCACCACGGGCTCTTCTTATAACATCTCTTCTGCCTGGATTCTAGTCCAAAATCACCTGCTTGAATCCACACCCATCCTGAGCCAAGGAGCTTTTAGTTCAGGCCTTTGTCATTTTTCCCCTGAACTAATGAAAGTGCCAGGAAACAATCTATTTTCCTTCAAATCTGATTTCATCCTAATCCATTTATAACATTTTCTACTGAAATAATCTTCCAGGAATTCAGATCTGATTGTCTGCTCCTCCATCCTGGAATTCTGTATTGGCTTCCTCATATCTTCATGATTTGGACACCTTGCCTACCCCCTCTCCCTGCCTCCCACCAACTTTGCTACTTTTCATCCTTCCGTAATTATTTAGAAGCCTTCTTTTTTTTTTTATTTTATTAAAATACTGAGTTTATTTCACATGTATATTTTTGTCTCCCCACCATTTCCATCTGTCTGACCACCACTACTACTATTCCTATGGTAACATTCCATACATACTTAAAACCAAGCAAAGGGTGGAGTTCCATCTTTAAAAACTAAACAGGCATTTTGGACAACACATTCTTGGCAATGGAACGTGGACAACATTTATCAGACATGGTAGGGAAAGTTCTCACTCTGCATTATAAAAAGGACAGCCAGATATCAACTGTTACAGAAATGAAATAAGATGGAAAGTTTTTAACAAACTGTTTAAACTATTTTCTTAAAGAGACTTCCTCCACTGCCAGAGATCTTGAATAGCCTCCTGGTCAGTCATCTGGAACCAATTCTTCACATAATTGATAAACTTGGCTTCCACTTTGGGAGGGGACCACCTTTTTCTATACTTGCTTGCATTTTGCTTAATGTCTTCTACAGAGCTAGGTCCTTTCGGTGTTTTAGGTGTTTTTTCCTGTTTTTCGAAGGATTCTTGACCTTTTGATCTTGGTGTTGATGATTTTGAGTCTTTTCCATTTTGGTTCGATTTTTGTGCATTTTTGGCTGGAGT